TGCCTCTTGCTCACCTACCTTGAACCTTTCCCTCTAGGATGATCTTTACAATACTGTTATGTCTTTTATTGTGGCCAAAATATTTCACTTGTCTCTTTTTTATTTCACCTAGCAACTCTCTTTTCATTCCCAATTTCCTCAGTACCTCTGTATTTGATAGCTTTTTTGAAATACGACCTAATCTTCTGTATATCCACATCTCCAAAGAATTGATACGTTTTTCCAGTTGTTTGTTCATTGTCCATGTCTCTGTGCCATACAGTAAGGTTGAGAATACATAACATTTGACAATTCTCATTTTTTATGCATTGCTTATTTCTCTTGATGTCAGTAACTTATGCATGTTGTTGAAAATGTTTTTGGCCATCCCTATTCTTTTCTTGACTTCTGTTTCACTTCTGCCGTCACATGTTATTACTTGTCCAAGATATAAGAAATTTTTAACTTGTTCCAATTTCACCCCGTTCACTGTGATGTTCATTGTTAGCTGATTATTTTCTTTGCTAAATATCATGGTTTTTGTCTTTTTCAAATTAATATCTAATCCGAATTCTGCACTCCTTCTGTTTACTTGCTCTACTAGGTCTTGCAACTCCTGCTCACTCTCTGCTAGCAACCCTGTGTCGTCAGCATTTCTCAGATTGTTTATTATTCTACCATTGATGTGCAGTCCTGGTAATTATACAATTTCTTAAAAAATGGTTTCTGTTCATGAGTTGAAAAGGCTAGGCAACAGCACACATCCTTGTCTTACTCCTCTCTTGATCTCTATCTGGGGTGAGCAGATGTTGTCATATCTTACTGTTGCTTCTTGCTCCCAGTATAAGTTTCTAATAAGTCTGTTATCCTTTCCATCTAGTCCTATGTTTTGAAGAGCTGCAATTAGTTGTTCATGTGCACTCTGTCGAAAGCTTTTTTGTAATCTATAAATCATGCATAAATATTTTTCTGAACTTCTGTATATTTTTCAGTCAGCATCCTTAGACAAATTATGGCCTCTCGAGTACCACTGTTTCAACGGAATCCAAATTGCTCTTCAGAAACTTCTTTATCTATTTTATTTTGAATTCTTGCTTGTATTATCTTTAAGAGTTACTTAGTTATGTGACTCATAAGGCTAATATTTGTAATAATTTTGGACATGGTTTTGCTTAAATGCCTTATTAACAACAGTGGCAGCTGGCATAAAAGTGCACTTGCTTTACTAAAAGCTTTATTATGCTCATTTCTGCATGAGCAAGACAAATCTGAAGGGAGCCTTGTTTCACAACAATTACTTCACAAATCTATACAATTAGAAAGCTCAACAAAGTGTAACATTTAAAAAAGGCAAATCTTGTGACAAATATTTCTCATTTACTAGAAGGCACATAGTTTAATTTAAAACAATATTTTCAAGGATTTGTTTAAATTTGCAATAAAATTTTGCAGAAGCATTAGCTACAAAAATCTAACAATGGTTAACAAGCATACAGAAATAGTAAGGAAAAAGTCTCATTTATCCAAAATCAAAAGAGGTTTCCATTAAAGAAATATTGCAGGCTGTCTTCTTTCTTCTTCACGTTCACCGGTGTAAAGTTTTGGTAGTTCATCCCCCGGTGAAATAGTTCCAGAACCTGAGTGTTATACTGCACATTCGTTTTACAGATCCGACTTACTTGTATGCAGACTTTTGCTTCCTTGACTCTCAGGCAGATGCACTCCAACTTTCAAGGAAGCCCCTAATTAGTTTACCCTTATGACATGCTTGTTAGAGAAGCAGTGGGTCTTTTCTTGTCTTACCCACAATGGGGCCCTGGAATCCACATAGGGACTTGCAAGATGTGAGAGAGCCATAAGAAATCTGGACTGCTGCTTGCATCCTTTATCATGAAACTTCAAAGTTCTGTATATAATAACAGAAAAAAATAGTAATATCAAAATTTTGGATGGGCGATCTCAATGCCATGATTGGGCATATAAACATGAGTTATGAAGGGGCCAGGGGAAAAAAATTAACTTGGAATAATGAATAAAAATAGAGAACTGTTCAGCAATTTCTGTACACTAAATCAAAAGGTGCGGCGTCCGTGGCTAAGGCGTTGCGAGTCCGACTCGTAAGCCAGCATACCGCGATCGAAACCCACTGCAGGCTGCGTGGATTTTAGTCGTGGTATGGGACGTCGCAGGTCGACCCAGCCTAAAATGGGTACCAGGATGGGCTGTCCTGGGAAAGTAAAGACAGCCGGCGTAATGCTGACCACATTACCCACAGAGTGCTGATGGTCTGTAAAAATATGGGACGCTCTGCCCATATGCCCGATGCGCCGAAAGGCGTGAAAAGGGATCTTTACTTTTTTTTTTTTACTTTTTTTAAATCAAAAGGTATAGGAAGAAGTGTTTTTGCATGTAAAAGAGTAAATAAAACAATGTGGGTTTCACCAGACCACAATACAGAAAACTAAACTGATATGTACTGACTAGAAATATAGATGATCTCTAAACAAAACACAAGTATAGATGTGCAGACATAGATCTGGATCCCTATCTGATGATAAATAAAAATAGGTAAAATGAATTAGGGAAAGTATGTAATTTTAAAAAACCCAAAAAATGTAAAACAATAAAAAGTAGGATAATTCAGAAACCAAGAACATTTATTCTCATGGTCTCTATAGGATCCAGGTACTGCAAGAGTTAGCAGATCATGGGTGGCAGAATAAATGTTGAGCAGTGTATTTTACACAGCATCACCTCTACTAGAGCATAAGTCAGCAAGTGAATGTGATATTTCACTATTCACGGCATTGCATCACTGCATATTAGATTTTCATGCTGTTGACACACTGGACATGACAGACCTATATTTTTAAAAACCAAGTGGAACTCAATGGGTGATTTCAGGAGCTGTTGTGTGTCAAATCCGTAATTAGTTGAGACACTGCTGATAATAAGTGTGGAAGAGTTAGGAGTACATGAGTTAACATTCATACCTGAGACTATGTCTGCATAAACCAGTACATAGAGGTGAGGCAAGAATCACCATGATTTCTATTAAGTCTTGTCATATACAACCAGTTACCTATGTGTCTACGTGACTGAAGCTACGTCATAGGATAAACTCGGGCAAGTCTCCAGGAGGGAAAACTTGAGTGGGCAGCCGTCCTACTGTGCGGACGAGCTGTGTTCCTTGCTTGTGTTCTGGTTCACGCCGTATGCCGTGGAGACTTAGCGCATTTGCAAAGTCTCAATCCAGTGAATAATGTGTGTGCTGATTAATGCTGTTTAGTATTTCGCACAAGACTGAGTTTAAAAAAATTAGGACAGTGTCCATTTATAGTGCTAACACCCAAATGCAATTGGCTAGTCGGCTCGTTGCAGGCAACTGAGGTATGTTAGCTCATGGGTCTTTTGACTGCAGCGTTTTTTGTCTGTGTCCTCATAGCGCCACTTGTTTTTAATTCTAAGGATGCGTGAGCTAGTGTATTTAATGTAAGCTCGCATTTGCACCATGTGTTTATGGTGATGACATTTTGCAGTGATCTGCATATTGTATTCTTATCTGTGCGTGCTGGTAGGCATAAACATTTTGTCAATTAAATGTACTAGGACGGTCTGCAGTGTCTTGTAGTCACTCCTGTGCTGAACTATACTTGAGCCTCCTGTTCTTGAACTTTGATTATTATCAATAATGACTTGAGGGAGCTGTCAGTGAAGCCCTTACAGCTGAATATCTACATGGCGGTCTGAGATACTTGGCCCCAGCAGTTCCCAACAATTAGAGCAAAGATCTCAACATCACACCATAATATTACCTGGTGCCCTTCTTTTTGGATGGGTTGACCTAGGAGCCAAGGTTAATTTTGAAATTTACTTAAAACTGAAAACTTACTGATGAAATACAGATTTTAGCTAAGTATGAACAGAAGCAAAATGAAAAGTTACCACTAAAGTTCCATGTAACAAGAAAACATTTGGCATTGCATGTACAGTTATCACTACACTCTGTAAGACAACTATGACATACGTAGCAACTCCCAAATTATTCACTATCTCTCAAATATTCACTTAATGATACAACATAGTATGAGATCATACACATTTTACATATTATGGACACCATTTAAACTAACTACGACTTTCACATAAACTGGCCCAAAAAAGAGAAACCATGTTTAATTTATATATTTAAAAAAAACCACTCCATATATTAATCTGAGTATATATTTGATACAACTGGCTATAAGCGAAGTATTAAATAGTTCCAACTTTTATTTTAAATCCCATACTTTTAAAAATTATAAGAATAATACAAACTCATTCAGTTGTGCATGTTTGCTTGTGTCAGTCAAATGCTAGATTACTAATGACTGCTGTCATATTTTCTGAGAATGTTAAATCAATGAATGGGCAAAAAATACCTCCCCTGAATTTTCTCTCAATGAGCTTATACAGCTGGGAGATTTAGTGCAAGAGAAGCAAATGAGCATAGAGTAAGACTACTTGGACATGCAAGCATTTGTAATAAGCTGTTTTTACAAATGACATCAGTGCACATTTGGTAATCCCAAGTGTGCTGTCCTCCACTGCAGCTGCTATCCCAAGGTACCTCTTCTGACTGTTTCCATGCAAACTTGGTTACATCCATGTTGATGGATCCCATCCTGACCCCGAAGACAGCAGCATTATACAATTATAATCATAGATGACATGAAGAAATTTTGTTTATGATTTATATCTGCCCATTTCTCAATTCTTCACTTTATAATGTTGTAAAGTCAACATACCTGGTGAAAATACTTAGCCTAAAAAGTATATGCACAGGATAAAACCTAACACTCAACTTACAATAAAATGTTTACATAGAACAAAATCTAACAGAAAAGTCACAGCAACATTTTCATTTACATGAATGGTAATGGTGTATATTTAAATATTTAAAAGAGAGCCTAACCGTTGGGAAACAAAATTTGCAAATGAAAATAACTAACTAATCTTCACAAAAGTAAGAAAAGCCAATATCATTGGGTCTCAGCTGTGAGCTGTTGCTGGAACTCCTCTTTGATGACTTGCACAAGAGATGGATTCAAGTACACATCAATGGCTACCATTGCCAGAGCTTTAGCATGTAACAGTGTTGTTACATGGGCAGATTCTGTTTCTGACACACACACAAAAAGCAGCAGATAATTATCATTGATATCTGACCATGTTACCAGAAATACAGGTTGCCAGGCAAAGAAGGGCATCTGACTCTGCCTAAGAACCACTCCCAGGCTCCTCTTCCCCCCCCCCCCCCCCACCCCCCGGTGGAAATTTCCGGTTGTTCATCCTCTTCTAGACTTCAGTCTTGTTACAGAAAATGAGTTTTACATTCATATCCTTAAACAGATATGGCTTATTCGTATGCAGACTACGGGTTCCTAGTCTCTCAGGCAGATGTACGACTTCGAAAGAAACCCCTAATTAGTCAACTCTTACCACATGCTTGTTAGGGAGGCAGTGGATCAGACAGATATACAATCAGAAAGTTTTTGGTACCATCGGATTTGGAATTCTTCGCTTGCTGCTGAGGATAGGGACAGAGCGTTTATGGTAGTTTCCTGAGTGCTATAATGTTGATTCTCAATTCAACATTTAACATTTAAATTAGAATACTATTAGTGTTACATACACTATCCACCATGCATACACAAGCACTATAGCTATCATCATTAATAACCAATCAACACTATGCATACCAATCAGCACAACATACATCATTTCTCATCCAGTATGGGGACAGCCCACTGAGACTGTGAAACAATTATTATTTCTAGCCAGTTTGCTAATGTAAATTCTTCATTCTGGACCTGGAGACCAAAGGTTCCATGGCTCAGCTACTGAGATTATTGCTTGGTATAACACTGTGAGCTGTGAATTTTATGTGGAATGTATTTTTTTTCTTTTGTGCCAATGGCACCTTTGTGTTTTCAAGTGCACTAAAAATGGAGGGTTACCTGATTACATTCAGAATAGCATGTGATTATTTAATATTATATGTGCAAATGCTGGCTGGCTTTTGTGAACGACTGCTTGCATCAGCTGTGAAATGCGATCCTAGTGTGGGACTGTTAGTGTTGGCACATTTGACAGCTGCCGTACACATTTACTTTCAATGTGCGAGCTTCAAGACTTTGCTGGAACTGACATGTTTGTCACAAGTTTTCAAAATGGACAGTGAAGGATATGTTGTATGATTTCTAATGGCATAGGATCGGAGCAGTTATGGGGCAACCCATTTGTAGTGAAGTTGGAACATAAACTGTTGACTGATACATATTTAAAATGCTTTGCAGTGAGCACCAGCACAGAGTTTCCAGAAAGAAAAAAGCCATGAGTACTTCCAGGACAACCAATGAAATGTCTGTGAAAGGCTGCAGAAGTGATCAAAAGAGATAAAATAAAAAATGAGGTCATAAACAGAAAAAGTCGGCACAGAATCAATTCTAAAATACATACAAAGACAGCAGATCAAGTGGTTTGCCCACTAAGAGAGAACATTCACTGAGGCAGATTTAAAATAAACTGATCTGAACTTCTTGGTTGATTCAGCCTAAAATAAATACGAAGAAATGACCCAGGAAGTAAAGGTAGCTGAGCTATATTGGCCATAGCATATACTGACTGCTGATTTGTAAATGAAAATATGGGGTCAACAGGATTGACTTAAAATGGGGGAAATAGGACTTTTTTTGTGTGTGTATACAATACAAATGCTACAACTTACTGGCAATATCTCTGAATTCAGTGGTGTGAAGGCTCACTTCTGTGTTGAGGCTAAACTTTGGATGAATGCTTGGCAGGACACGGGAAACATTCCCCATGTCGGTGGAGCCACCTTGTTTTGACAGCTTGTTCTGATCATGCTCATATACGATGCCAAGAGACTCTCCATTTTCCACATACATGGCAGCCATCTTGTTATTGCTCATTAGGGAATCATAACCTTTGGGATCAAATGCATAGGTTACCTGTTGGGAATAAAATTAAAATAAAAACACAGAACAAATAACATACAATGTGATCTGAGTCTCCTTACAACAGAATAAGTCATATTTCATAGAAACAAAAGCAAACAATGGATCCGAAAAGACTAGGATTGGAAAGAGAGTTGCTGAAGAAAATAAAATAGACAACTGAAATATTTCAGCCTTTTAAAAGAGACAAAACTTATAAAAACTATGAGTCACAAGTGAAGTTTTTTTCTATGGAACATCAGTTGAAAGCACAAGTAAATTAAAAATACAAAAAATGCGTTCTCGTAGTGAATTTAAATAATGCAGACGTAAGCAATACATTAGACAATTTACTGCCTGGCATATTTTACCGTATCTCGCCAGATGCATTATTACAGAGTTAGATCAACATACAATGAAACATACAAAATGAATTCTTTTTTCTGAATTACACAAATCACATTGTCTCTCCGCCTTTCTCTCAGAACCACTCTGTTTCCATGTTATTTACCACACACTGAACAGGAGCTTGCTGAACCTTGTGGAAACTTTGTTAATTAAAAACAACCAATCCGCGCTCTGTGCAAGCAGAAGAAATGTATAGTAAATGTGTAAACCATATGACTACTTTAATCTTTCAGTGATAAGATGATCAATCAATCTATCGAGAAAGACAATGTTTTTTGGGTACTTAAGTGGGAAGAATCCAGTTTTTGTGTTCTTCATTATATGTTATGTAACTCTGTAGTAATGCACATGACAAGATACAGTGAAATACACCAGACAATAAACTGTTTGTGTCTGCATTATTTATACTATTTTACTTTGCGTTTCATTAACCACTGAAGTCAGTATAGAAGTTTGATAATTTCCTCAAGTTACAGTAAAGGAAAGTTCTTTATCTTCTTCTTTGTACTCACCAGCTACACATTCTGGTGAAAAGTTCTGGCTGCTCATCCACATCTGGACTTTAGCCTTGTTCCAGAACTTGAGTTTTGTGTGCACATCCTTGTTTTTTTTTTACAGATCTGGCTGACTTCTATGCATACTGTTGATTCCTTACCTCTCAGGCAGAAGATGCATTATGACTTCAAAGAAAACACCCCAATGAGTAACGTCCTACATAACGTTTGTTGGGGTGGCAGAGGATCAGTTCTCCCTCACCCCACAATGGGTTTCAAGAAACCTCATGGGGAACAATAACATATAAAAGGATAATCATAACATATTAAAAACAGACTGTAACGTATTGATGGATGTCCACAGCATATTATTGTGTGGCTAATATATAGATGGACACAACTGTAACATACTGACAAATGACTATAAAATGCTCATGGATGACAATAGTTTGACTATTCAGCTTCTACAAATGTAAACAGAAATTCATAAAATACCGTGCATCCTGTGGCTGTGGCTGCACCTTGAAAGCAACCACCAAGTCGTCTCTGAATATCCTGAAGCTCTTCACCAGATGGAGCTCTTGCATAATAAAGAAGTTCTGCAGTCTCTGGGATGATGTTGGGCTTGTCTCCTCCATTTGTAATCACCCCTGCAAAATGTTTGCACATGTCAGCACAAAAATGGGTAAGTGGCAACATTAGTCATGTCAGTAGACAGAGTGACTTGAGTAAACATGCTGGCAGAGGGATAAGAAGACAACTTTACTTACTTACTTAGACTCTTACACACACACGAATGCGCGTGCTGGCACACACACACATATATTAATGAACACATAAAAGACACAGGTTGCTGTAGTGTAGGGCCATGCATCTCAACTGACTCAGGGGCCAAAATGTTCAAAAATTGAAATCGTTGCCAGCCAGTGGCCTGGGTCACAGCATAGAAAGATCATTAGTACCATACAATTGGCAGGTGATCCTGGGCTGCATGCTAGGCCTCTGCAGGCCAAAAGTGGCCTGCAGGCCATCAGCTGAAAAGCCCTGCTTTAGTGCGACTGCTTGCTCTCCTGCCAGTAAGTGTAAATAAGTAACCATGTTGACCTCTGCTTCTTACAAAAGCTGTATTACATCAGTTATCAGATTCCTGCCTGCATTACCAGGTACACTCTCATGCATACCTTAGAATTCACCTCCTGCCCTTTTTTCCCAAACCCAATCCTACAACTTCATCAGCATTTATCTATTTCCCAGAATGTTTCTTGGTACCCATTTTAGCCTAGGTCGACCTGGGAGCCAAAGGCATTTTAGGAAAATCTGCCACGATGATCGCAGAATCAGGCAGAAGTATAATATCCCTGACTACTTTATTTTGTAAAGCTCAACACTGCCAGCCATTCCTGCACTTGCCATGCAGACATTATACCTCTAACTCACTTTTTTCCTCGAAGTGTGTTAAAACAAAACAAAGTAACTCATTAATAATAGTTTCAGGAGAATGCTGATGAGATCCAGTTTACTGAGATTTGCTGATGACTCAGTGTATGCTCTGTATTATTACTGAAAGCATGTCTAATATGGCTTGCTGGATATGACACTTAAATATCATTGACATTTAAAGATTAAATACCAGGACCAGAAAAAATATTCACTCTTTTAACAAAAGGCAGTTTTAATTATGGTACATCAGTTTGCAAGCTCTCACAATAACATGCTTAAAGAATACAGACTGCCTACAGTTAATTTCTCCAATCCTTTATGTCTTCACGCTTCTCAGAGAACTTATTTTCATTCTGTCCACCCATGGATTCTGTGCACTATCCTCAAAGACCTAATTTCAGCTACACAAATTAAAAAATGAGTCAGTCACAGATGAAAAGACTGTGACAATATGACAGTCCTTTGTTTCATGTGTTTTTGTTCTTCCATGTTCCTCCTTAAAATGGCAGTTGGTACACAGTTTTGTTTTATAGATAGGCCACAATTCCTGCTTGTTAGTAGGCATTATGTCTATCGCCCACCTCGCTAAAACATACAGCCCTGGAAATCACATGGGGATTCTGATGTACTCAATTATTTAATTTTCTGACAGAACATTAAGACTTACCGTGCACTCTCCATGTAGGCTTCAACTGCTGACGCATGCAAGATACACTCTGATAGCACAACACAGCAGCGTCAAGGGCATTCACACCATTCCAAGGAAAGCTTGAAGCATGTGATGCCTTCCCCTGATATTTGACTTTCACCCTAGTGTTGAGTAAATGAGAAAAAAACATTTAAATGTTCTGGATACAGTGCAAATTATAGCAAAATAACTCAGTGATTCTCGTACTGCAAGGTGGTCGAAACCAATCAAAAGTCAAAAGTCTTTTTAGATATATATGTAAAGTGTAAATTTGTTACATGATCCATGGCCATACTGTTTGCTCCATGGTTCGTTGGGTCTTCTCCTTTGATCCTCCTGTGGTGTCATGGGGAGCCAAGCCCCAATAGCTAAGCTCTGCTCGGTCTTTGTGCCTCCTGCATTGTTTGTCATCGACTTGTAGACAGTTAGCACCTTAGAAGCTAATCCTCTCTGCAATGGAGAGTACGCTAGTGGGCACGAAGCCTACCGGTGCTGGAGAATACGTCAATAGAGAAAAAGTCTCCCTACATGTTATTGTAGGTCAATGGAGGCCAAACACCAGTATGCTTGACAGCAGTAATGACAACACTATTTGGAGGTCAAGCCTCCTCACTGACGGAACATTAGCTACAACAAAGGAGGTTAGTGCTCATGATGCTGGACAGCAGTAGCTATATAAAAATATTCATGTACATGCAACTGTTAGGACAGTAAAATTGTCTACTGTACAGGCACAAACTAGAGTGATGGCACAGACTAGAGAGTGTAGGTACAGACTAGAGAGTGTAGGAACAGACTAGAGAGTGTAGGGGACCTAATTACGGAGGTCATATGCTGCTGAAAACAAGAGCTGGGAGTCAACAAGGGCCACCTGTCGACATTTATGTGTGCTACCCGAGCTGTCAGTTTGTACTGTGTGGCAGTCAACTAAGGCTGTCCATGATGCTGGGGCGCTGACCAAATAAATGGTGACACACTGATAGTCTAGACAGAGTATCAAACCTAATAAAATTTATGGTGAGCTGTCCAGGTGGCACTGTATGGTTGTCAAGACTGGCTACCTGGGTTGTCAGAGCCTATCATGCTGTGATGTGTTCATCTCAAGGCTTCAACAATGTTGGACTTTATAATTTTATTTGTTTTCCTTGTGTTAATGTCAGTGTGTCTTAGTCAAATATAGAGTTTAATTGACTGATCATGCTGACTGAATGTTTGTAAGTTTACACATTCATCCTTCATAAGACTAGACAATTGACAAAATATTATTTATAATGACTGCAGTGAGTGAGCAACAACAGAGGTCCTTTCTCATGCAAACAGGCAGGTATTGAGGCCTGTTTGCTGGGTGAAGAGGGGAGTGAGCTGTTGTATGCAAAAGTCACTTTGGCGTGTAAGCCACTGGCATTCATGCTGTATTGCTGGGTTGTGAAGGTAAACATCTGAGCCATTTAAAGTTTGTACACAGAGGTTGCTTGATATTCATGGGTGACTAAACACATGAATTGTGTGGAGAAAGTGAGATGGACACGTAACTGACCATTGTTGACGTGAGTGCATGGTAGTTTAAGTCAGTCACTTTCAGTCAGCGTAAGTGTTGGACATGTGGGTGAAATGTTCCACTGCCATGGAATGTGGTGGATCATAAGTTTTATTTCAGAATGCAGACTAAGTGATTTTCTAGAATGTGCTGAGCCACGTGTGTTGGGGTCGGCAAAGTTGCGGTTATGTAGCATGCTAGTTGATGGGGTGTGTCTTCAAGTGCTATAGAAGGTGCCGTGGTAACTTTGTGTGTGTTTATTAACGAATGCTGACCGTTAACTAATATGGATTGCCATGGTTAACTGGAGGTTGATTAGTGATATTTCAACGAGTGACTGGGTAGCAGACTGGAGGTCTGGATTGTTTTCACCATGTAGTTCATCTACTTTTGGTCCTCAGATGGTGAGGTCTCTTAGAGGGAGAGCTGTCAGAAGACTGTCACTGCACATCACGAAGATGTATCTGCGCGAACGGGCATGAGCCACTTGTAAATAGTTCGCCAGGGTGTTTTGTCCATGTTCTGGAGACTGCCGATGTCAGTGTATTTGGCAGGAAGTAGTGGGCTGACAGTGAGTCACTGATACCAATTCATCATCGTCACAATGTGTTTATTCATAATAAAGAAACTGATCGCACTTTAAGATCATACTTGGTGTTGTGTATTGTATTACAGCATTATAAGGTTACGATAGGACATGTAACTTGTGGCAGACATACTGTGGATGTTAACTTGTTACATGTGACAGGCTTATTGTAGTGCTTCTCTTGGTTGGCCTTCCTTTACTCCAGAAGAAATCACTATCAGCATGAGCCGTGCCAATGAGAGTGGGTGGCCACAGTTTGTCATCTGAGAGAATCTTGTGTGCATGTACGGAGGACTGATATTTACAAACACGGTTCCCTAGATACTTGGCAAGTGTGTGATTCATTTCCAAAATCAGATGCGTCATCTGCAAGATTCTGTGCCAGTAACAGGCACCTTTTGAAATTTTGCTGATGCAGTCTGAATTAGGATGGGCAATTCCACATAACAACTTGCGATATGCTGGCGATATAGTGTTGATCACTGAAAATAAAACACAACTGCAAGAAGTGATGGAATTGTAACAGAGAGTGAAAACAGGGGTCTTAGTTTGAACAGCAGAAAAACAGAAGTTATGGTAATTACAAAGAAAACTAACCCTCCAAAGTAAATAGGACAAATCTCAAGCAAGCTGATACGTTTAAGTGCCTGGGTACCCTGATAATATCAGATGGAAGATGGAATAAGGAAGTTAAATGTTGAATAGCTCAAGCAAAAGCAGCAATTTACAAAAAAAAAAAAAGAATAGTTTATGCAATCTTTTTTTGTGTGTGTCAACTGAGACAAGAATGGTAATTCTTAAAATCTATACAAATCCTATATTGATATAGAGATGTGAATCAAGGACAGTTAGTAATTAGTGAAAACATTTGGAAGCTATGGAGATGTAGTTTTCTAGATGAATGATGAGAATACCCTGGACAGATAAAAAGTATAACGAAGAAGTTTTAAAAGAAACTGACTCACGAAGAGAACCGATTGCCCACATCAGAGAGAGACAATCTCCATTTTTTGGTCATGTGATAAGAATGAGAAAAATTGGAGTGCATTGTGACGGTAGGAAAGTTAGAGGGGAAGAGAGGCAGAGGGAGACCGAGAGAACAGATGCTGGATGGTCTGACATGGAAGATTGTATATGTTAGAGATGACTGAAAGTATTCGAGACAAAAAGTTGTGGATGCTACGACTACCAACACCACACAGAATGGACTTTAAGAATAATAATAATTCCACACCATGTCAACAAAAAGATCCTGTTGTAAACCCATGGGGAGATATGACATGGAATATGTTGATGTCAGGCGGTACAGTGAGATATGCCAGGTAATAAATTGTGGAATATATTGTTTGTATCCTCATTATTTAAATTCAAAACAGAAACAATATTGTAAAAAATCTTTTTAATGTTTACTTGCTGTAAATTGTCGGTAAAAAGTTTTGGTTTTTCGTCCACTTCTGAACTTGTCTTCTTCCAGAATTTGAGTTTTGCATGCATATCCATTTTACAAATCTGGCTTATCTGTATGCAGACTATTGGTTCCTTACCTCACCGGCTTATGCACTCTGACTTTAGAGAAAATAATCATAATGAGTTGCCTTGTACGACATGCTTGTTAAGGGGCCAGTGGATCTGTTTCCCCCGTTCCCCCCCCCTCCATGGGGTCCTAAAAGCCTCAAGAGAAATATATTAAATTGTAACATTATAATTAGAATAATTATTACAAAGCCTGCAACATTTGAAACAACACCATAAATGATTTACTGGCTCATTGCAACATAGACTGGCTTGGGCAGGTTGAACTGTGAAGGGTGAGCCATCATGGCAATGTCCAGGTCCTTGTAAGCTCCTACATTTATCAAGTCAATCTTCCCGCCTCCACCTTCCTCTGCCGGGCAACCCAGTACTGTCACCTTGTGAATAAAGAGAAGTCAATTAATTCAACAATTTCCATACACAGCACTTTGTCTCTCATCAAATATAAATATGTATGAACATCATTATCATTAAGCAGTATCTACCATGTTTACATGTGTATAGGCTGCATGTGTGTACAGGCCTCATCCAATTTCTGGGACGATAATATTAGGAAAAATAATTTTCTTAGAATTTCCTTGGGAGATCAAAACTGAAACAGTAGTGCCTGTAAGCAGCGATAGATGGGAATTCCACGGAGTGAATTTAAAGCCAGTTGTAGCTGGGCAAGTCACTTTATGGCGAAAAATTACCTGGTGATTCATTTGCGGACAACAGCAGTGCAGCGACTTCCCAACACCTACCAGGAGAAATTGCGCTTCAAAGATTTACTTTAAAGTTACAGAAAACACACAGCTACAGCATAGGGGCAATTGGGAATTAGGATGAAACTCTGATATTTGTCTAAATGCCAGGTAAAACAACAGTGAACAAAGCTGCCGAAAAAAACAGTGCATTTTCGAACTTCAAGAGCAGAAAAACAGAGGTGGACCACCATGCTAGGTATCACTGCTGACGGACACAAACTCTCAGCTTACATAATTTTTAAATGTAAATCCATGCCAAAGGAGAAGCTACCACCTGTGATACTGGTAAGAGTGAAAGAGTAAGGGTGGATGACTGAAGAATTGTGATACTGTTTATTAATCAATTGCGAACAAGTAACATGTAGTTAATATCTCAAATATAAGACGAACTCTATTTTTTATCAACGATTTTCAGTAAAAATACTGCAGTAAATAAGAAATTTCTATACATGCAGGATTTTTTTTCTTATTCTTGGTGTTTACCATGTTGTCCAAAGAAGCTGCAAATGTATCATTTCATCTTGTGAATGTGACTCAATTCTGCAAATGCTATGACCTGTTCCCTAGAAGCCTAACTAATGGTTGCTGGTTTTTTATTTTAGCACCTGCACAATGTTTAGGAAAAATATGGATATTAGCATATTTTCTAAAAGTGGCATTTTTCTTGTCAAGACATATTTGCTTTAGCTTTAGCGTTAAAATTCTGATCAGGTCACACGGGTGATGATGCGAGTCATGCGATATATTTTATAGGCCCCGGGAAAAGTATTCTATTTAATGCTTCACTCCATTTGATTTTAATGATTACTGCCTCAAAATATTTCTACATTTTGTTTTTAAAATGTAAATAAATATGTTTGTAAAATCTTGTTATTTCTGACTTGTGTCAAATGACTGCTTTTTAAAAGGATTTTTCCCCCCAGGAATTCCCATGGGGTCCTGCATGTTTTAAGTATTTCGGGGACAAAAGGGTTGAACAACCTTTTAATGTTGAAGTGTCAGTGACTTCCATGTGTTAAAAAAAAATAATTGTACTGGTGTTATACATGCTTATAAAGAATTTTTTCACAAGTTATGGTCTGGGAAAAATTAAACAGTTTGTAAAATTTATTGGCCATCACAAATGCTTGAACACAGCTGACAAACTTTTCCTATATCCTTTTAGAGTTAAACCTTATCACTAAGGTCTTAAGTTGCAACGTTGTAGAATTTGTGACATATTACTGATGCAGTGTCTATTGAAAAATGGCAAAATAATGATACTGCTTAATGTAATAAGTGTTTGGTGTCTTAGGGTTAACAAAAAAGAATACGATCGGATAAAGAAACTTTAGAAACAATTAATAAAAAATGGATTAACTCTACGAGACCCCTTCTGCGGTAATTTCCTAATCTGCTGCTAAATTGCTGTACCTCATTGTCGGTACTTTGCATACTAGGTGAAAACAATGTGTCACAAAATAAAAATAACTAGTCAATCATAGTCAGACCTCATGGACAGTCATTACAGATGTATGCACACGTGTGTTTAGATTTACTTTGTGTGGTTTAACGTGAAAAAATTCAGAAAATTCACAATGAAACGAGTGGCTGATGAACCAAGCACTTCAACAGGAAATTAAAGTAGGTCTAGAATTTCCACAGTCCAACAGGTGATTGATACTTTGGTTTATTCAGCGGGGTCATAATTTCATGAAGAATATGTTCACAGCTGAAGTCACACAGTCAGTGAGAGCTCAAATGATGAGGACAATCTTGAAAATTATAAATCTAAAAATAGATCGATAGTAGAAGGATTCGTGTCCCTCAAACAGCAACATCTGGTGCTCACTTTGTGAAACAAGGCTGATCCTGCTGGGCGGATTGGCAAACAGGTGAAAATTGGCGCTAAAATTTGGCGATAAAAGGTTGACCTATTTTCTATAACGTCTCCAAGTTTCATCTTACTCTAACCATTTGCTTGCATGTAAGTAATATTTGTGTATATCATGTTGGTTTTTTCGTGTTAATGCCCATGAGCTCAGGTATAGTGGGCAATTAGGTTCAGGACCTCAGGTCTGGTAGGGTTAAGGCTAAAGTTGGATGAGTTAAAAGCACAGAAACGTGCAAAAGAGTTAAATAAATAAGGTAAAGGTCAGCATTAGCGGCATGGAGGTTTTGAACTCAGTTTGACAATCACAACTGTATTGGGGTTTGAAGAAGCAGAGCAATTAGGCAGTAGACTGCTGTGAATTGATCTGGACAAAGGTTTGAGAGCAGTGTATCATCCAAAATGTAACGATAAACTACTAAATGTAACAACTGCCCAGCAAATCTACATAATGGCCAATAATTCCTGGGGGTTGTTTTGCAGCATCCTGTAAAAAAATGTTACGAACGTTCGTTTCAAAAACAAATTATTTTAAAACATGTAAATACAGGAAGCAGTTAGACAAGGGGTCAAGGACCTTTCCGAGAGGCCACGATGGGAACAATGTTCTACAAAAGACTTATTATATGATAATGATGATAGATCATCACAGTAAAAGGACCCTTTTCCCCGCCCCTTGAGCACATAAGGTATATAGACCAATCAGCACTAAGTGGGTCGTGTGGTCAGCATCACACCAGCCAGGACATCCTAGCATGTCACATTTTTATTTACATGAAGGACAGAATGCCACTGTTTTTGGTGTAATATGTCTTGGATTTGTTGAAGTTTCACTGAAGCTTACTTTTCCTTTCACATTTCCTTTATCCAAGACTTCTTTGATGCCAAGTGCAACAGACAATCCCAAAATTGCTATAAGATTATGTCCACATGCATGACCGATTCCAGGCAGAGCATCATATTCACACATCACACCTTGAATGGAAAAACAAACATAATATAAATACGCATTCATTTTTTATATGTTTTTCTATCTATCTATCTATACAAAATAAATTTAGTGTTCTCTACAGGAACCATTGTTCACAGTAGATCCAAAAAATAAAATACCACTAACCCTATAGTATATATAATGAATATTACATAAATACAGGTTACATGCTGCTGTAAAGATGATGAGATTTTAAGCATTTAGCTTATCTCCCTTAGATTTATTATAATAAGAATTTGGGAGAACAGAAAGATTACGATTAAAACACAAACTCTTTGTCTATCAGGATTGTGTTCTCAGCACTCTTCTTTACAGCAGTGAAACTTGGTCCAATTTATACGTATCAGAGAAACAACTAAATAGCTTTCATGTGCGATGCACAGCAAGAAAACTAGACTTTAGGTGGCAAAACTAGATCACAAACACTAAGGTAGTGGAAATAGCAGTCTTTAAAAGCTCACATGGCTTAAGTTACACAAGGAAGACGTACAATAGCAGAGTCCCTATGGACATCCTCTGTGGTGAATAAAGATGAGTAAATGGTGTCAAAGTCAGCCTCTGCCATGATATAAAGATATGTGCAAGTGGGACATGAATGATACATGTAATACAATTTATTCATAGAAATAAACTGCCATGGACTGTATTTCATTGAGTGGGGAAATTAAGAAAGGAAAAGGAAAAAGAGAATAAGATTGCTGAAGGTTAAGATCTTAGAAGAAGCCATTAAATACATGCAATGGCAAACAGCCGTCCTGAAATCCCAAGCACTAACTGTGGCTGGCATTCCTTAATGCAAGAGAGTCTTATTGGTCACATTAGCTGTTCACCACGCATTAACTTTGATTGGCATTCCTTAATGCAAGAGGATCTTGCTGGTCATATTAGCTGTGATTGGCATTCCTTAATGCAAGAGGATCTTGCTGGTCATATTAGCTGTTCACCACGCATTACCTTTGATTGGCATTCCTTAATGCGAGAGGATCTTGCTGGTCATATTAGCTGTTCACCACGCATTAACTTCGATTGGCATTCCTTAATGCAAGAGAGTCTTATTGGTCACATTAGCTGTTCACCACGCATTAACTTCGATTGGCATTCCTTAATGTGAGAGATCTTGCTGGTCATATTAGCTGTTCACCACTCATATTAGCTGTTCACCACGCATTAACTTTGATTGGCATTCCTTAATGCGAGAGGATCTTGCTGGTCATATTAGCCTTTCACCACCCATCAGCTGTGACTGGCATTCCTTAATGCCAGAGGATCTTGCTTGTCACACTCCCCGTTCACCATGGGCTGTGGATCCCCTGCCTTCCTATAGACCAATATAACGCTATCCTCTAGAGAAATGAAAAAGTGCTAACAGAACAACATAACATTATAATTAGTACATTAGGAGCAAACAATATTTTGATTGTAGGTATAATTTGAGCACATTTCAGCATTTGTAATTAATGTTTTTGTTGTCGATGTTTACCTTTTAAAAGATGAATGATCAAATATTGTGCCGAATCAGTCAGATCAGAAGAAAAGAATGGCAAACAGGCCTTCTTGCCCTTTTCCTAATCTTTTGAATACAAAGTTCCCTTGTTCTGTCTTCACATAGATAATGAACAATCAACTACATGGCTATAGAAATCAGCTGCAATATTTAATCTTAAGCCAAATGTGTTTTATTCCCTTCACTTTGTTTGTGTTAACTTCAATGTACTTCTTTTTATAAAATGCAGTTTTTACCTGTCCTAGTCAGTTTTTTTTAAAATCTTTGATACATTATGTATCTGATATTACACATGTGCCTAGACAATTCAAATTCTGCACTTGCCCCCAAATAATGATACCTTTAGGCAAAACCTGTTACTTTGATAATAATGAACTTATTTTAAAATCTGAGAGCCTAAAATATATGACATATATAACATTAGTGAAAAAAATATGTTTAGGAAGTTCAAGTAATCTGTTATGGTGAGTAGTATAAGGAATCTCTCTCAGGTGAAGTGGTTAAGTCTTAGCCTCTGCCCTGAAGGTTATGGATGAAATTTTGGACTGCTGTTTGGTTTGAGAATGCAGGTGTTTTAAAGTTTGGGATTTACTGTTGGAGCTGTGGAGTTTGTGCTCTGTGTAACACTCTCGCGGGTGACCAGTAGCCCTGTGGAGACAGAGTCATACGGGAAAAAGTCTCGTGCATTGAAGTCACAACTCTCGCTTTACAACACACTTTTATTGTAAAAGAATATTTTGTGCGGCCCTCAGGCTGTTTCTCTTCTGGAATATAACTGACCTATATTTGGAGAATCATTGCTCAGCTCGCTGCTTGAAGCTGTAGCTCTGAAGGCAGTCTCAAGTTTATAGTGTTTGTCCACCTGAGAAAAGAATGGCAAATGTTGAAATAAGATATTATCTTAGCTCACAATAAAGGTAAAGGCAGTTCCCACAGCATATACCACCACAGGGAAGTGAAGTGTTAGGACTTCACATATTCTGGGCCATGAAATATGAGGTAAGATGCCCAGTTCCCATTTCTCATCATTTTTCTTTCCCATACAATTCCCAGAAGATTATGGAAATAGTCTTATGCTATTTTAATGAGTCCAGGTCAATCTTACAGTTGTATGGTCTGGACAAAATCCTGCCTAATCTGGGGATTAAGCTAGGATGACTTTAAGGTTAAAGTCTATCTTATTTCCTTCCACACAAGCAATGTCAACATGCAAAAACTGTTACTTTTATAAACTACTCTATCCCAAGTAATATGAATTGATATGGCCTCATTAAAACTCAGCCTTGTGACTGTGAGGTAAGTGCATTGAAAATAATGCCACATACTAAATGGTGCCCTCACAATGTTGGAGATAACTGGAGGACGAGAAGAAGTAGAAGAAAATATCATTACAAAATTGTGATCTTGAAAAAATGTTTCTTCTTATCTCGATCTATGGCAGTGGTTCCTAAACTGTGCACTGCGGTGCCCAGGAGAGCCACGACCTCTTCACAGGGGCGCCACAAAATATTATAAAAGCTTCATAATGAATTAAACCAAGACACAAATAGTCATACTTTTACTTTGGTTAGGGCACTGTAGAAAAACTTTTATTGAAAAAAAGGGTCGCACCCAAGAAAAGTTTGGGAAACACTGATCTATGGAGTTACTTGCTCTTGAGACCAGCTTTTTTGAATTCTTTTTTCAAACTCAATATGATGAAGTGCATAGTGTTATTTGGTTTATGGTTTTTTTTATAACTTTTCTCAGACTTGATTGACGTAAAATATCGAACCCTCTGAAGGAAAAAGGGGCACGAACATGGGCATTCCCTTCTATTCAAGAAGATATTAAAAAACAAACGTGATATATGAGCTTTGGTTCTGGTTTCTGAAAGGGAATATCTGTGAGATAAAATCTTATTACCAATTTACAGATGTTTGCAGGAAGCCTACAGGACTTGGTTTAAAATCTACATCTCCCCGTATGAGTTCCCTGACCTATTTTGGAGGCACACAAAAAAGAGTAGACCCACTGCTCCCCCCCCCCCCCCCCCCCCCCCCCCCCCCCCAACATTCTGCATATAAATAAGCTACATTTGTAAAACAGATATGCATACACAACTAAAGCTCTTGAACAAGACCAAAGTTCAAAAGTGACAAACAATCAAAACTTTCCACCGGAGTTTACAGCCCGTGAATGCTAAGACGAAATCTAAAATGAATATCACCATATTCTGATTAGTGATCAAGGGTTGTGGGGGTGAACAGTCGATCATCCAGAACTTTCCCGGTGGCACTGGCTGTATCAATTCTGTGTGAATGTATACTGTGTTTAATGTCCTCAATCTATTTTCTTCTTGGGTACCTTTTTGCACTCACAATAGATTTTATTAAGACAATATTCTGGTAACTGGCAGTGCTGCAATGAATAACATACATTTCAAAGAATACTCTGTAACAAGATAAGATATAGAATATCACTCTATACTGACACCGATGACAAGAGTTGCACTCACAAGAAATCCTTTACTCTCTAGAAAGTTTGTGAGGACTTCATGAGCATGGTGTTCTTCAAAGCACAGCTCTGGATGTTCCCAGATGTCCAGGCTAAGTGTTCGTAAATTAGAGCTCTCTTTGTCAATAGCTGCACAAGCAAGAGACTTAAGATTGGACATGCTGCGGCACTGCAATAGTGAAAGAAAAACATTATATGAAATGTTTAATAATTTCAATGTGTAAATATTATTTCATAGCTTTATAGCATTTTTTTGTACAACAGCTGTAATGTTTTACATTTTTATTTTAAACAGAATATTAGAACAATATTTGGCTGTTGTCTTTCAATTAGTGAGAATACTCAGCCAACAGATTTCAGACCTGGACAAGCAATGACAGACTGCTACCAGGTGTGATCAAATGAAACTTATCAAAAGGGGTTTATTACAAACATAAGAAAGGTATCTTAGCGTGTGTGACAGAATTAAACAAAGCAACCTAAGGAAACAAGTATACACCTGGGATTTTCAAAAAAGTCAACCTAGGCATTTAGGCACACATTTCCCAGCTGTACTATTACGTAATTTCCAGTTTCTGCTAGTACTGATGCACAAATTTCAGTTTCTGCTGGTACCATATGGTTTCACAAATTCTAACTTCTGTTAGTACTGATGTATTGTTTCAGAAATACTAAATAGAATATTTATATACTAATACTGTTACCTATTATTATTGCTCTAGGATAAGATCAAAGTTAAAATGTTTAATTCTAATGACAAATCAGTACTGTTGTATGGAGCAGAAACATGAAGAGCAACTAAGCCAATTGCTAATAAACTACATTCATTAACTGGCGCCTGCACAGAATAAAGGGAATTAAATAGTATGATAGAGACATTAATGTAGAGCTTTGGAAGAGAACTAAACAGTGGACCATGAGGTGAAGAAAAGATGCTGGCGTTGGATATGATGCATTATGACAAAACCTGAGAAAAAAAAAAAAAAAAATATATATATATATATATATATATATATATATATATATATATATATATATATATATATATATATATATAATATATATATATATATATATATATATATATATAATAGAGCTGTACCAAAAATTCACTTCGGGGCCAAATAGTGGACTTAATAACTATTCGGTATTCGGCCAAATAGTGGCGGTCGGGCCGAATACGAATAGTGATTTCTGTATACGATGGACTGAAATAACTCTCTCATTGACACAATAGTTGCTGTTGCTTCAGTCTGTCGCAGTGGGGGAAATTGCGACCCGGTTGCGTGGTACAGCAGCTGGCAAGGTCTTTGCCTGCTGACTCGACTGAGACATTACAGCAGAGGTTCTCAAAGTGGGTGGGTGTGCCAGGGGTGCCGCGGCGTAAATCAAGAAAAGTCGGCTATAAATTGTGACATCATTAAACAAGGCATGAAGATACTTAAAAGTTAAAATTTAAATTATCTTTCCTTGTCACTGTCGAAAAGAGTTTTTTCCTTGTTTCACATTCAAAGTGTATCATACTGCATAAAATGCCAACCACAGCGTGCTAAAAATTGTCTTTGTATTTATCTCGAGGTGCAACTGATCCTCCATCTGTTTCCGTGAAGGTGCAGTGGATAAGTAAGACTTTTTAAAGTGGAAAATGTGGTCTGTACAATAGTCACTGTTAGCCTCGTCAAGTAAGCACTTATATTTAAAGGCAATGCTTTGTAATTCTTGATAATCGGTAGGCAGGCCAAACAATTGCTTGAGGCCTCAGAGATGTGGTTTTACAGAACAATGCTTAAAATACCCTGGACAGCATAAAAAAAGCAACAAAGAGGTTTTGAAAGTTGCGGGAGACCGAAGACAACTAATCACAGACATCAGAAGGAGACAGTCATCATTTTTTGGCCATGTTATGAGAAGAGGGAAAATGGAACATGTGGTGACCACTGGAAAGATCTGTGAAAGAAGGGATAGAGAAAGACAATGAGAGAAGATTCTTGACAGTCTTGTTGCATAGCAAGGAGGTGTGTCAGCACACCAACTAATACATGCTGCAAGAGATCGCAGATTGTGGTGAGGCATGATCGCCCACGCCAGTCACCAAGGCACCTGATGATGATGAAACACTATTCGTATTCGACTGAATAGTTATCTCGCTATTCGTATTCGGCCGAATAGTGAAAATCACTATTTGGTACAGCCCTAATATTTATATATATATATATATATATATATATATATATATATATATATATATATATATATATATATATATATATATATATATATATATATATATATACATACATACATACAAAAATCGTCTGCAATTTAACTCGACCAGGTATCTCAGAATTATTACCTGCACATAATACCTAAGTCACATACATGCCCAGATCATTAATTTTTAATTTAAAAGGAAATATTAAATGTAAATGATTATTTCTTTCCATACTGAGTGAATCCCAATGTTTACTAGTTTCTCTTCATAGGATGTGCTTTTCCAATCTCTTTATTTGTTATCTTCACCAACTCTCACAGTCTAGTCATCCATTATATTCTATCCTATGCAATATCATGGATAGAATCCAGTCCAGATCCTTTGGCCTCTCTCAGCAATACCTGACATAGGATTTTTTTTTAACAACCTCATTTCCTGAGTCCATCTGTTTACCATATTGCAAATTTCTGTAGCACACTTTTCATTTACAAGGTGGGGTAGCTGGCCCCATACCCAACCCTGCTCCATTCACATCCAGGACTGGGACTAGCACCGGCAATTCCTCATCTTGCTGGTACATTAAATGTTAAGGGCAGTAATATGTTAAGGGCGGCAAATTGTTAAGGGCGGTAAAATGTTGACAGCAGCAAAACAATCACCGGGTGTTTATCGTTTGTGTGATGTCCTGGTGGGGTACAACTTACCTACCTACCTACCTTCTGCCAAATAATTCTCATTCCCTTGTGGGATGCAATTTTTAGTTATTTTGAAGCCCCACTCTGGCTTTTGCGGGGTCCCTGAAGTTAGCCGGGCCTTAAATATGGCCTAACAGATGAACATGGTTTCCAGGACCTCTCCACGGGTGATCCTCATCTGCATGGTGGTAATTTGTGTCACCAGGTGTTTATCGCTTGTGTGATGTCTTGGTAGGGTCCAACTTACATACCCACCTACTTGTGCCGAATTAAAACTGTCATGCCCCTTGTACGATGCAATTTTTATTATTTTGAAGCCCCACCCTGGCTTTTGCCAGGGGCCACAATATAATCTAAAGGATTAACACAGTTTCCGGGACCTCTCCGCGTGATGCTCATCATCCGCATGGTAACACTTTGTGTCACTGGGTGTTTATCGCTCTGTGTGATGTCCTGGTGGGGTGACATTTTCTTGGTTACTTGTGCCGACATTTATAATGTTTATGACTTTCTTACTATTTCTTTTATCTGAGTTTCATACTTCTTTTCCCATCTGCTGGGATTTAGCTGAAATGAAACTTACCAAGATCAGGAGATTGGAATCAGTTCTTAAAGCGCAATCACATGATTTTCTCTGCAGTTATCATATATTTATGTCTTCAAACAAATATTTTTACCTTTGTAACTTGCACATTTATTTAATCGGTTGTTTACTCGGTTAAGTTGAAATATTTCAATACAGTTAAAATAACAAATATCAATGTAAAGGAACAGTTCAACGTTGATGCAAACAATTAGTTACAACAATTTCGCTATGAAATGGTGGATCATTGAAAAAAAAAGAAATACACAGGGGCGGCATACATGCTAAATTCGTCCCAGACTGCCATATTATAAATCACCAACTATAGCGGTACCTTCTACTAACTACTAACAATGAATAATCGCTGTGTCTGTGATATGCCAACATGATACGACTATATTATGATATTCCCTAAGTATAATAGGATCATCAGCCAGCTTATTTTTAAAAAAAAATCAGCGACTAGCTAGTCACTAACTTTACCGTGTAGGTTCGAAATAAAGGTAAATAATGACATGTAGCACGGGCGATTCGCTTCATATGCATTGCACATTGGAACTAGGCATTAGACTTCGTGATGATACATAAACAGTGTGTTATCATTTCTCCAGCAGTCGACTGACTCTCTTTTCGTGCTACACATGTGCAAGCTAGACCTTGACAGTTAAAAATTATATCCACCTTGTACCTTTTTCATGCCTCTCCACAATCTGCCATCCACAACTGCGTGTATCAGTTCGTGTGTTGACATCACTCCATGCATGACAAAAGGATTTCAAGAATCTTCTCACGCTGTCTTTCTCTTTCTGTTCTTCGACAATTTTTTTTAACTTGTTACATGTTCTATTTTTTCCTTTTCTCACAACATGACCCCAAAAAAAGATGATCCATCTATTTGGGCAGTTACCGCCAAGGAAGCATGCCTGGTCAAATTCAGTTACTTTTGCTTTTGATGTTAATAAGGGGTTTCGGAACAGACAGGAAACGGTTGTGATAGCACATGATCTTGAGGATGCCTACAAATAAATTAGATATGATATTTTGATATTTACGCTCAGGGCGTGGCTGTTGAACTGGATAGCAGTTTTCATGCATTTACGTATGGGTATATGGACTTCAGAACCATATACTATTGCCCCGGGACTACCCCAGTGTTCTGCAATTTCAACGTGTTTATAAGCAAGACTGCAGAACTTGAAGCACCAAGTGCTGGAAGGATACTAACATTTGCCAATGATGATCTTTCACATAGGCAGGGGAGAGATAGGTGTCGGATAGCCCAAGAACTACAGGCAACTGTCGACAAAGTGACTGACTGGTGTACAGAAATGAGTGCTGTCATCAACTCAGAAAAGGCGACTGTTTTGTGGTGCTCTCTGGACAATAGAATTGTAAGAGCTAATGTTCCAAGCCTCACAATTAATGTCAGAACCATCAAAAGAGAAACCAAACAGTGGTACATGGGTATCATTTTCGATAGAAGCCAGTCCACCAGGGATCATGTGGAGGAAGTTGCCGTGAAATTCTAAAAAAGGACTCAAGATTATGACAGCAATGGACATGAAGCCATGCGGGTATTTCTGGGATGTACAAGAGATACCCTGCTAGTATGTATGCGATATATTCTTGCACTGCCTACTATTGCAGATAGGCTCTATATTCCTCAAGCA